AACTGTAAAACCGACTCCTTCACCTCAGCAAAATTCTCGGAACCGCACCCGTGACTTAACATTATACCGCAACTCCGCTTCACTGTTGCACGTGCTTCACAGCCACCCGTAAAACATTAGCTCGACGTTCTTTAACTGCACCCCCATCGATCCGTCACCAGCTGTACGCATGAACTGAACACTTTAATCTAGGGTACCCGTCATTCACTGCCCGGGCATGGGTCTTCGGCCGTTGATTATGGCTGGCGATCATACGCCGTCGATCTCCTCACAAGTGTAACCCAAACTCGTAAATACTCCGGTACCCCCTGACGTTTTAGGTGCTTAACAGCAGTGCCGCTGGATTTTGTAGAATTCCCCATCTGGCACCAGGCATTTAGCAGCGCGTCGACGTTCACCCATCGTTGCGCCCGCCATTACACCACAATAGGTCCTAGGCATTATCGCACGTTGAAGTAGCCCGCGTAATCAGGGTCAACTCCCTTCCGCTTAGCCGCAATCCGAAATTTCGGGAATAGAGTCAAACTCCTCCAACTGTATCTCAAAACTCTTCAAAATACTCTGGCACCCCTGCCAGCTGGCCGTGCAGACATTCACCCAGCTCGCGGCTGCTGCTGCCGCTTCACTGCTGCTTAACTAACTCCTCTAAAAACCTGCACTGTCACAGGCGTGGACAGCACACGACAAAGTCGGTTGGACTAAAGAAGTCCTCGCACGACCGCTGAACACCTCCTGCCTCCCGACGTGCCAGGGTGAGACACTTCGAATCTTACACCCGCAAAAGTCGGAAACTCTTCTGCTGCATCAGGTGAAGCCCTCAGCTCCACTGCAACAGTAACCACTCAAATTTCAGGGACACCCCTCAGCACAATATAGATTGCACGTTCACTCTCCTTTAACCATGTGTGGACAACCCATAGTCGACACGACGACGTAGTGAGAATGGTGATATTCGAGCGACGAAGCTCCGTTAGCAGGGGATCCGTAGCTGCCTGACGTTTAACTAAAACCCAACTTCTTCCAGTCGTTTCACTTCGAACTGCTTCAGCTCTTGACAGTTTGACGCTTACGGCGTCACGGTGGAAAACACTTAATACACACCCGAGGGTGATGACCTCCATTTCCGTTGATCGTGGGGGTATGATCGCTGCTCCACGAAAACGCCTCCCTCTTCAGGAAGTCGCCCCTGCTGAAAATTCTAGAACAGCTCCATCCCCTCCATGTGAGACAGCACATGCAGGAAACGCCGAGGTAAGTCTTCCTCGTGCTCCTATTGTCTGGCTCACCCACTCGTGAGACGTGCGATCGTGGCCTCCCGAAATAATCGCAGCCGCCCTTTGCCGCAAAAACTTCTGAAGTCTCGTCCATCGCATGCAACTAGCCTGCCGGAAATACCGACGCCAGCTATGCAACTGCACTTCACCATGCAGTTACATGGCACGACAGACGTACATCGCCGTACGTCCCGCCATTTTCGCCCATTCGCGCGCTCCTGGCGACCATCGCCTGGCCGCCCGAGGATTCCCGCACGCCTGTCTTCTCCCGACGACTCCTCGCAATTTTCGGAAACCAAAACAAAAGCACCGTTAGAACCTTCCGAAGATCACGAAACACTAGCAAACATACCCGAAAATCCCGGCGAAAACATCACCATCACTTTGACGGAAGATAATTCCGTCCACGCCCAAGGAAGGGGAGGACCGGCTAATCCCATCCGTCCATCAGACAGGATCCGGCGGCATCGGAAGCGCTACACCACCAGCATCCTTCCGCCCCCTTCCCCGATAGGGACTGCTCCCCTATCGGAACCTAGATGGGCAGAATCGTGGCTCTGATACCAGCCATTATTAAATATAACTCAGAGTATAGCACAGAATACTATAGGGGAGCGTGACTACAATGTGTTGAATCATGAAATGCCTCAGGCTTATACACTGCTAGTTGACTAGGTTGAACCTCGAGGGTTGGACCAGTCAAGGGCTCGATAGTCCCAAGGGCGACGGGGTCAAATAGGGTTCGAGGCGCCTCGGTAACAGGTTCGGGGCCGATTAGGTCGGCGAAGGTGGTTTGACGCAAGGTTTGCGGGCCGAGGCTGCGGACGCGAACTGTTCGCGGTACTCGCTGTGGCGAAACCCAGTAAGGATTCGTGAGATCCTTACAAAAGTTGTCAAAGTGCAATGAATCGAGTACGCGTCTCGAACTTCGGCGCGCAAAACCTCCCCAAGTTCAGATTTGTCAGTGATGGAGTAGGAAATGCCCGATCTACGGCACATCTCTTAACTTCCATTCATTTCGTGGCTGCCCCGCCGACTGTTACACCAGAAACCAGTATTATGATCTTGGAAGTGTCAATGAAATATAACGTGAGAATACAAGGTCGCTATTGCAATGAAGGCACGAGGTTATATAGGGGTTGGCATGCTAGGACGATAACCTTGGAACGTGGGTAAGTTCGACAATATGGCGACAGTGCCAGGCGCGGCGCAGGAAAGGGTTGGGCCGACAAATGAGGCCGAACGTGACGAGACGAGGAGTTCGGGTGTACGCGCTAGCGTATGACTCTGTAAGGAATGGAAATTCCTTACACTACCCCCCCCCCCTCCTAAACGAGGCCGCGGGCATCGGAAACATTCCGACGCTGATAATACGCTGTTAGGATCGGGCGTGATTCTATGTCAGCGAGTGGCACCGAGCTGTCATCCACAGACGTCCGATCGCGCCATCTGATTAGAAAATCCACCATTCGACGGTTCTGTTGCGTTGTGACGCGATGGCTGAGAATTTTCAAGGGCTCGGTCATTGGTTCTTGCAGGGGCGTCAGCTGCGGTACGATGCGTGGACGTGCCAAATCCGATAGAGCGAGTATTAATGCCCTCCCTCACCCCCCCCCCCCCCCGCTTCCCCCTCTCCCCCCCCTCCACCCCTCCATTGCATGTTCACCTCACTGTTGGCGCAACGAGTGCGCCGTTGGGCGCTAGCGCGGGCGCCAGTGGCGACGTCAGCATCAACGTCAGCACCAACGTCAGAGACAACGTCAGCACCAGCGCCCGTGGTAGCGCCAGCACTGAGCAGCATCGCCTTCTGCCAGCCACACCCGCCGCCACTCGTCTACCTGCAGAGTCAGCTGCAGGGCAGGCGAAAGGTCTGTGCCAGGCCCAGGGCCGTGGGGGGGGGATTCTCCTAACGTGTCTTACCACCGCCGCCGCCTCCGCCTAGAGTGCCGCTTTGCCTTGCGTTTGCGGAGTCTTAATCTGCTATCATTCGCACCCATGCGTTCGTTCCCACCCCCTCCCCCCCACCCCCTCTCCTCCACCCGTTCCTCCACGCCCCCTTCTAATCTCGTTTCCTGCATGAACGAGGCTCTGGGGCGACGGCTGCTGTTTCCTGTGCTGCTCCTTCCACCCTACAAGCTGCTCCTGCTGCTGCTCCCACTGCTACGATGCCTACTGACAACAAGTGCTGCCTACACCTGCCGCTGCCTACACCTGCTGCTGCCGCTACCGTCGCCAATGATAAGGGGGTATAGCGTGCCTGGCGGCTGTGTGTAATGAGTCGATTTTTTAGTCGACTTAAAAATTGACTCATTGTACACGGATTCTACACATACCGCTGCCAATGATGAGGGGGTATAGCGTGCCTGGCGGCTGTGTGTAATGAGTCGATTTTTTAGTCGACTCAAAAATCGACTCATTACATACGGATTCTACACCTGCTGCTGCCGCCACCGCCGCCAATGATGAGGGGGTATGGCGTGCCTAGCGGCACATGGTAAGGCTCGCATCCCTTCCTTGCCGCCTCTGCTTTCGTTCTATCTTTTGCGCTTGGTTTTCTCTGCCGGTCCTTCTGCCTGCCTTTCTTGTGTTGAGACTTTCCTGCCGTCTCTGCCCCTCCCCGCCTCTCATTCTCTCCCTTCCACTGTCCTTCCCTGGGCGCTCTGAGCGGGAGCACAGGAGGGGAGGAGGAGAGGTGGAGAGGTGGAGGGGAGGAGAGGAGGAGAGGAGGAAGGAGGAAGGAGGAGAGGAGGAGAGGAGGAGAGGAGGAGAGGAGGAGAGGAGGAAGAGAGGAGGATGGGAGGGAGGCAGACTACCCTGCTGCGCCGACCTGCTGCTTCTGTCAGATAAGAATGAGTATCACACCGCACCATGCGTTGCGCCCCCACACGCCTCATGCGTTGCGCCGACCCTGCTGCACCATGCGCTGTGCCCCCACATGCCTCATTCGCGTCTGGACACGCACCCCTGCAATTTGCACCCACTTGCACTACTGCCACGTGGCTCACCCATCCAGGGACCCTCCCCAGGTAACGATGTACAGTACTTATACTAGGTTTTCTGCAGGTAGCCTCAGGTACTGACTGGTAGGTGCCAAGACTCAGGTATGGTCCCTTAGGGTGGGCCACGGGGCGCTGCTTCCACTCGCACGCCATTGTGCTACCTGCACGCCATCGTGCTACCTGCACGTCTCATTCACTGACCTCATTTCATCTCACTTTGCTTTCTTGAGTCCCTTATGCATCCTTTGGCGCTTGCAATTTCGTTTTCCTTCCCTCTCTCCCTTCTTCGCTCACTCATTTCGATCTGTCCTTCTTCGCCCACTTCTCCCCCTTCTCCCCCCCACCCCCCCTGCAGTAGGTGACAAGGAGTAGCACCATGGGGCGAGCAGCAACAGCACTGCACATGGGAGGCGGGGAGGTGAGGAGGCGAGGAGGTGGGGAGGAGGGGAGGCAGGGACATCCTTTTTGCTGCAGCGACCTGCTGCGTCTGTCGGATCATAATGAGTATCCCACCATGCACGGTCGCACAGCATCCCCACCCTACACACCTCATGCCGCCATTGCATCCCAGCCATGCACTCACTCACTGCTGCTTGCACCTAATGCTGCTTGCACTCACTGCTGCTCGCTGCCACGTGGCTCATCCATCCAGGGACCCTCCCCCAAGTAACAAGGTACAGACTACCACGTAGCCCTCAGGTGCTGACTGGTGCAGGTGGTAGGTGAAAAGACTTAGGTATGGTCCCTTGGGGTGAGCCACTAGCCGCTGCTGCCACCTGCATGCCATCATGCCACCTGCATGTCATCATGCCACCTGCATGCCATCATGCCACCTGCATGCCATCATGCCACCTGATGCCATCATGCCACCTGCATGCCATCATGCCACCTGCATGCCATCATGCCACTTGCATGCCATCATGCCACCTGCATGCCATCATGCCACCTGCATGCCATCATGCCACCTGCATGCCATCATGCCACCTGCATGCCATCATGCCACCTGCATGCCATCATGCCACCTGCATGCCATCATGCCACCTGTATGCCATCATGCCACCTGCATGCCATCATGCCACCTGGTTCCCTTTCACACCAACTCACCCTGCAGCCCTCCCCCAGTGTCAGGTTCCAGGTGCCAGGTACCCCCAACCTTGCAGGTTCACACACTGGCAATACCAAGCCTTTGGTTCTCCCTTGTGCACCTGCCTGCTCTAGTTAGCTTGTCTTCAGCGCTGCCTCACTTCAGCCTCCTCCTACTCCCCCCCCCCCCTCCTCTCCCTTCCACCATCCCCTCCCTCCCTCCGGCACTACAGGATACCCTGGGCCGCGCTTTCCAAGGGCAGCAGGGGGGAGCGGAGCTCTGGGAGCAAGGCTGCTGCAGCTCTGATCCGACCATCCATGGAAAGAGATAAGTACCCTCTGGCCCTGGTTCCCTTGCACACCAACTCACCCAACAGGTCCCCCCCCCCTGGTCTCAGGTTCAAACTTCCAGGTACCAGGTACCCCCAGCCTTGCTTGCAGGTACCTTCCAGGTACTGCCTTGATAGTTCTTTGGTTAGGCACTCAGCCCTTTCCGCCTCGCCTCTCCTGTGTGCCTGGCCTAAGCTCTGCCTTATCTCCGCCTCTCCTCCCCCCTTTCCCCATTCCCCCCCTTCCCCCCCCGGCGTTACAGGTACCCCTGGGAAGCACTGCCAAGGGCAGCAGCGAGGGGAGCGGAGTTCTGGGAGCAAGGCAGCAGAGGCTCTGAGGAAATTACTTCCAGCAAGAGATCAGCGCGCTATCCCTGAATGGATCTTCCCTCCTCCTCCTCACCGCTTCTCCTGCATTTGTACTCACTTGCTGCACTGTCACTCACCACTTGCACCTTGTCTCACCAGCCACTGCATCTGGTCAGTGGGTGCTGGAGGTTAATGGCTGGTGGTTGAGGGTAAGTGGTACAAGGCTCAATCCCTGGAGGCCAGTGCTCTCGGTGCTATAAGCCCTGCTGGTGGCGGTGGGGGCAGTGTGGTTGACGCGTCTCAAATCTCTGTGCTTGGGCCCGAGACCCAGCGTTTAAGGCATAATGGATTCAGACAGAACCATCGTGGCGATGGTTTCTGAGTCGAATCCCCTCTTGCTATGCTGGTGAGGGGCACCCAGGTCTTGGGCTGAGCGCACAACCTGCCACTGTCTCACTGCACACTGCAGGGCCATGGGTGCTGAGAGTGCCGGCTGGAAGGGGGGCGAGCTGAGTGCTGCTGGTGGTGGCGGTGGGGGTGGTGTGAAGTGGCAGTGGTGGTGTGAGGTGGTGGTGGTGGTGGTGGTGTGAGGTGGTGTTGGTTGTGGTGTGAGGTGGTGGTGATGGTGGTGGTGGTGGTGGTGGTGGTGGTGGTGGTGGTGGTGGTGGTGGTGGTGGTGGTGGTGGTGGTGGTGGTGGTGGTGGTGGTGGTGGTGGTGGTGGTGGTGGTGGTGGTGGTGGTGGTGGTGGTGGTGGTGGTGGTGGTGGTGGTGGTGGTGGTGGTGGTGGTGTGAGGTGGTGGTGGTGGTGGTGTGAGGTGGTGGTGGTGTGAGGTGGTGGTGGTGGTGGTGGTGATGTGAGGTGGTGGTGGAGGGGGAATGAGGAGAAGGCCCAATGTACCATGGTGTGGCATGCCATGCTTGGTTTATCATGGTGTGGCATGCCATGTTTGCTTGGTGTATCATGGCGTGGCATGCCATGCTTGGTGTATCATGGTGTGGCATGCCATGCTTGCTTGGTGTATCGTGGTGTGGCATGTCATGCTTGGTTTATCTTGGTGTGGCATGCCATGTATGCCATACGGTATTCATGCTGTGGCATGCGTTAGTGTGGGATACCATGGTGTGGCATGCGATGATGTGGAAAATCGTGGTGTTTCATGCCATTCCATTCCACGGTGTATCATGCCATGGTGTGGCATTCCATGCTGTGGTATAACATGAGCTGGAGGGGAATGGCCTAGCGTGGTATGACATGGCGTGGAATGGAATGGAATGGCATGTCAGTCTGTGGATTGGCTGTGCAGGTTGGCAGTGGCTGGAGGGGTGTGAAGCAAGGAAGGCAGTGGAAGGAGAAGAGGAGAACAGCGTTGGTTGGGATTGGAGATGGTAGATTAGGATGGCTTTGTAGTTTAGGGCAGTTTGCAATTCTGAATCTGGTTGACCTGATCATGGCCACAAGTAGCATTGGCAGCCCTGCATTGTAACGTGGTAATTGTAATAATTTGACAGGTGATGCAGACTTGCAGGAGACTAAGTATAGAACCTGCAAACTCGAACACTTGGAAAACCTCAAGTGTTGGCCTAGGATCTTTACTAGAATGGTAGACTAGTAAGACAGCAGAAGTCTTATCAGAGTGAACCTGAGCACATGAACTTGTGGGTAGTCGGGCATGGATGCTTACTGTTGTGATATATGAAGTTTTGCATTCCTGCAAGTTCCGTTTCTCAGTAAGCATCCATGCCCGAGTGCTGATGCCAGCAAAGCATCGCGGGTCTCGGGGATGATGTCAGCATACCGCTTCAGTTACGCGGATAGGCGTAACGAGTCGTTTCAGTCACGCGAACAGTCCAGGGTCTCAGACATCGGACGAAATCCGTCTGATGGTCTGAAAATCAGACCTGTTTTTTTGCTTTCATCTGATTTTTTGACGGGGTGAATTATTTCATCTGATTGTCCATCTCAGTCATAAGATTTCGTCTGAAAGTTCAGACTTGGCATACTTTTTCGTCTGAAATGTCAGATAGCGCGTATAATTTTGTCTGACAGCAATCACCCCTTATCCCACTGTGCCAATGGGTCACCTGCCCAGTGGCCCACACTGTGCCATCTTGGTCCTGGTCGGTGGGCAGGTGCATTCATTTCCACGCGCACCGCAACGGCCAGCGCATAGTCACGAAATGAAATCGGCAGCAACCTGACTCAGGTTGCTGCCAATCGCTCGTCCGATAGTGCGTCACTTGCACGGCTGCCAGCTTCCTTGCATCTTGAAGCTGGCAGCAATGTGCCAGCGCACAGTGGTGCGGCCAGGAAAGCCACCCACCGCGAGCCAGCAATGCAGAGCTGTTTCGTAGCCATGCAGCAACCTCGCTCGCCATGCTGCAGCTCAGCGAGGCGCCTGGTCGTAAAGGCACCAAGGGAAAAGCCTCGTAGCCACTTGTCCTGCTCCACCTCGTTCTTCCAGCCCCCTCAGCATGGCTCCAATCTTGCTCGGCGCACACCCTGCCTAGACGCCCTCTAGCTCTGTGGCTAGACAGCGATGGCGTCAGAGAGAGCGCAGTCGATCCCCTCCCCAGTTAGGCAGTCAATAGTAGGCTTGGAGCCCCCTAGCTCAACCCCTCCGCTTGTTAGTGGTCTAGATCTCCTCACTGGCGTGCTGAACCGAGCCGTCAGCGGCGATGCTCCGGTTGCAGCCGTGGGTGAAGCACCTCCGTCGCCTCTCCCACCCTTAGACGACGAGCCGTGGGTTTTCTTTGACAAAGAAAACTCTACGTGTGATGCTCCAACGTCGCCTAACCCGTCGTCAACACCTGGCTGCTCAACCGTGCGAGCCGTCTCCCCTTCACGCGTGACGCGCGGTCCTGTCCTACCAGTTCGCGCTCCTGGCAAGAAGTATCGACAGCGCAAGCTTACGTTTGGCCGACCAGCGGTGGCTCAGTCTACACCCTCTGTCCAAGTGCAATCCCGGTCTTCCGAAGCATCTCCTGCCGACTCCGACGACGACGATGGTCCCTTTCCCCTCACAGTCGCCGAGCTCCAGTTGAAAGCCAAGGAGCAGTGGCAGCGGTATTTCCCATGGCTGCTGATTTCCGAGACCTCTGAGGGGCGTCCATGCATGAAGTGTAGCATCTGTATGGGGTACAACAACGACCCAACTACCAGTATGGGCGCAACGGCGAGGGCGGCATCGACATACAGAAGCAGACGATGCGCAAGCACCACCACAGTCAAAAGCACGAGGTGGCGATGGCACGGAAGGAGCAGAAGGATGGCAAGAATGCGAAACAGAAGTCCATCGTCGACTTCGAGAACGGGAACGATGTGGCAAAGCGACTGAAGCGACTCATGGCGATTGTGATGTTCCTCTGCAAATCTGACGCCCCCGTTGTGTTGTTTGTGTCACTTGTCCAGTTCATGGCAGAGCAGGGAACACCAGACCTACCCGTGAAGGACAACGGTACCTACCAGAGCGAGTAAGAGTTATACGTGATACCAACCCGATATACTGTTGATTTGTTACGTGCTTTCTAGAAGGCTGACACTGTACTATTATGCATGCGCAGGTACGGTTTCAATCAGGTGGTCGACAACATCGTCACTTACCTGCGAGCCAAGCAAATGACCCACATCAGGGCTTCACCATTCTTGGGCATCCAACTCGATGAGTCAACCGACCGCCGGCGGGGTAAACATATGATTGTTTACCTTACCTTCCTCCGCGACACGACGGTGGTGACGGAGTTCTTCGGGCATCTCACCCTCGAGAAGTGTGACGCCGCATCTCTGCAGGCCGTTCTACTCACCCACCTCGAGTCTCAGGGCGTCGAGCTCAACAAGATTTGCGGCATCAGCACCGATGGAGCCAGTGTGATGACGGGTGCGCAAGCAGGCCTCGTGGCTAGGCTACGCACCCGTATTCCACACCTGGTTTCCTGCCACTGCATCGCGCATAGGTGATTCTAACATTCTATAACAATGCATATTTTAAAATATTATTTCGAAACGAATAAAGTGTTTTTGTTAATCTGCAGGGACGCTCTTGCTGCCAAGGACATTGCAGATGATTTCCCGGACTTAGGCATCGTCGACAAGGTCGTGCGGTCACTGGCCGAGGTGCTCGGCCGGTCCATCGTCGTACACAACCGTTTCAAGGAGCTGCAGGAAGTCGTCACTGAAACTAACCTCGAAATGCAAGGCATTCACCAGATACGTTGGCTTAGTCGCGGTGAGGCTATCCAACGGCTTGTTGATGTGTTTCCCGCGGCCATCCTCCTGCTGTACGAGTATGATAGGAAGATGTATCACGTAGTTGTCTCGTTGAAATTTCATTTCTTGCTGTACTTTCTGGCGGATGTGCTGCGGGAGCTGAACACGCTCAACCTCAAGTTCCAGCGTCGCCAAGTAAGCCACATGGTGTCATGTCGTCGGTTTCAGGAGAGTGATTATTAACGAGCAAAACCATCTCCCCTTTCTGTCTTTGTATGGCAGGTCGACGTCACCCAGGTTCTTCGGATGGTCGACAACACTGTCGTTACACTGCGCGCACGCTACGTAAATTACAACACACAGTTCGGCCCACCTGACGGGGACTTCGCCGACTTTCTGCATCTGTACGCGGGGGGCGAGGACGTGACGATCGAGGGGATTGACGCACACGGGGCGCCGACTGTGCACATGTACACTCTACACACAAAGCCGCTGGATGGGCAGCGGAGCAACGGGGATCTGAAGTCGCTACAGCAGCTCGCCACGGACGTCGTCAACGGTGTCATCAACCACCTGCAGGGACGCCTCAAGGATCTATCGAAGCTCAACGGCACAAGACTTTTCAAGCAGACGATGTACCCGAAGTCCACTGCGAGGCGCCAGCGGAAGTTTCTCGAATGGCTCCAGTCTCTGCGCGGCCTCTACAAGCGTGATGCGTTAGCGCCTGACACTCTGCCGGGTGAGTTCCAAGGGGTTGTAAGTGTCTCCATGGCTCGGGTGTTTTATGGTTGAGATATTTAACGAAGGCTTCTGTGCCTCTATTTCACCCCCCCTTTAGGTGTCCACTGGGGCAAGGCGAAGGCCGAGCTCGTCAGTTTCACCACCATTATGTCGACACACAACGACGAGCTGGGCTTCCACGATGCGCTGAAGAACGTGCTCTCCACGCCGGACTGGATGACAGCCTACCCCAATTTGGTTCTCATCTGGATTGCCTGTGCCGTGCTGCCGCTCAGCACAGTGGATTGTGAGCGCGGGTTCAGCCGCCAGAACGTTATCAAAAGCTGGCAGCGCGGCAATCTCGGTGATGCGAAGCTAGGCCACTTGATGACGGTGTCGCTGCTCGACTACCCGATGGACTGGGGGAGTATGGTGGCTAGCTGGCGTGGAACGAAGAAGCGGCGACCTGCCAAGGAAGTTGTCATGGATCAGACCGCACGGCAGGTGAAGCGGCCCAAGACGTCGGCGGCATTGAAGGCGGCAATGGCAGCAGCAAAGGCAGCAGCAGAAGCAGCCAGGCAGGCAGAAGCGCTAGCAGCAGCAGAAGCAGCCAGAGTGTTTGAAGAGGATGGTGCGGCTGGCCCAATCTGGAGGAGGAAAAGCAAGGGCAAGAAGGTGCAAGTCTCAGAGAGCGACAGTGATGATGATGATATCGAGGAGGTCGGAAGTGATAGTTCAGACTCCGAGTAGGCAGATGATGGTATGGCACAGCATGGTTTAGTATAAGGCTAATTCCTAATGTAGGTTGTGGTAGTGGAGCATCAGTAGCACTAGAGTTTTTTCCAGCTATTCTTAGCATATACGGTAGATGCAATTTCAATGGATGCTAACGACGTGTAACAGTTGTTTGTGTAGCACTATAATGTAGCACATTCGGCATTGTTATATACTGAAACTCCCGCAACGTTTCGTCTGAATTGTCGGATCGTGCCAAATGTTTCGTCTGAAATGCCAGACCGGCAAAAAAAAATCGTATGATGGTCAGACGAAAGTTTGAAACCCCGTCTGAACGTCAGACGGCCTAAAATCCTAGCTGAAACCCTGGAACAGTCGCGACCCTATAGAATAACGAATAGGTCGCATAGCGCGCAACTAGCCGAACAGGTACTTTCCTAGAGCTATAAATCCTTGTAATGCCTTTCTATTATCAACCTTGACTTTCCACAGAACAAGTAGCATTGGCAGCCCTGCATCGTAACATGGTAATTGCAAGTAAATGTTGCTTGCATGCTGTATTCCACTTGTGCATACTGTGGCATAAGTTACCATAATGATGAGCCAATCCTTGTGATAATGCCTCATGGCGATGAATAGGAATGGTGATTATTGCCTGTTTGCAACTGATCGTGCAATGTCTTGCAATACTGCAACTTCTTGGATAAATTAGTGAGCAGCTTCAATAAATCATATGTTATCATTGAGTGTTCTTATGCAGTTTTCACGACGTTCCGCACACTTTCACACGTCAGCAGACTCCAGTCGCCGTGACTATGACGGGGTTCTTCTTTTCCCGCCAATCTGACAAATATCGGGAAGGTGTCTGTTTGAGTATGGGAAGCCTGGCTGATTCGGTGACCTCCTGAATCCTGATTCCTGCAACTTATCATGACTCATGAGGTATAGGTGCTAGAGAGACTTTCTCCCTTAGTTTTTTTCTGCAACTGCTGTTAGGGACCATGGAGCTAGGTTCTCTTGCTCGTGCCGCTCTTTCCAGGCGCGCAAAAACACAAGGCGGACACCGTTTCCCGAATTATTGCGCTTGCTAGGATGAGAACGCTCTTTTCGCATCGTCTTTTATATCCAAACCTCAGTCTGCAGAACCGTAGAGCAAACTGACCGACGATCGCGAAAATGCTAGCTTCGATACACTACCTCGATGCGTGAGCTCCTACCCGGACTATGGACTAGTGCACGTGAAGTGTGTCTGGTATCATTTGCCGAATAAGCGTATCGTTGTCGCCGACTTAGCAACAGCTAGTC